GCGTGCGTTCAATTACCGCTGGTGAATATATCATTCGGACATCGGCTTGCGGCGGTAGTAAATAAATCCGGCATCGGTGCACATCCGACGTGATGTCTTTTCGGGTCCGACCAAAAACAGCGAATTCCGCCGGGGTTAACCGTGCCATTGTTTGATATACGCCTTCAATTTTCCAATGTTATACACTGTGATAATAGTGTAACGTTTACCTTTCCCGTCCATCGGTAACGCGACGCACAAAGCATAAACCAATAGGCGGTCGTCGCCGGCGCCTTTTGCACTTATACACCGACGGCAGTGTTTTTGCAGAAACACCTCGTTCAGACTTGTCTTGTCCATACACCGTCGACGAACAATGTACAATTACTATTGGATAGACACTTCGTTTGTGGCCTTTGTTGTCGGTTGCTACCGGGGAATGCCCTGCACGGGGTTCGCAATCAAATTAAATATTACACGTTCATTTGGGTACGACATCTTACGCGTATAGCAGCAAGACCAGCAAGACCTCTTAAAGCCTCTGCGGGACCTGAACGGATTTCGTACAAGCCGACCGAGAGCAAATATCACCGAGGACTGCCAACTATTCGAGTTAATAAAAAATAAATCGCCATTTTGTGAGTGTGAGAAATTTTCATTACAGTTGTCTTACTGGGAACTTTTCAAACAATAAAAAAGTCTAGTACAGCGACACGCCACCTCTGAGTGTAATGGAAATAATATAAAATATTGGTTCACGGGTACTATTCGTTATTTCTTTAAACATCAGATGTTTAAGTAAAGCTGATGATTTATTCACAATTTGGTTGTTCGTGGCACTATGTATAATATTTTTTAGGTAAATGTAAATTATTATCTTTGTCAACACATCTATGAATCTGTGGTGACTGTATTTTTTATTTTTGTGATAATTCTTCAGTAACTGGTATTAAAATAGTCGTCTAGCTCTTGCTGTGACTTTTGCAAAAGGTAGTCTAACTGATAGAGTGAAAAAAACTTGGCGACAATGGAAGCGTCAATCCTTACGTCACTAACCGGGCAAAAGTTGCACACCAACTTTATTAACTGAGAAAACGATAATAACTTAATAATAGTCGTCGACCGAACAGACTGCTGAGGCGCTAAGCTAAGTCGCGTTTATTCTTAGCGTCGGTGGAATATTTAGCCGTAAAAGAATAAGAAGAAAAAAAACCTGTCAAAGAAAATAACTCGGGCCGCGTTTTGTTCGCATTTCCTCTTTGAATTGTATTGTATATGATATATATATATATATATATATATATATATATATATATATATATATATATTGCATTTCTTTATTATTACTTATCATTATACTCGCTGGCGTTGTGCGCAATATTTATTGCATCAGAAGTCTGTGAAAAAAATTTAATCAGCATCGCCCAGAGTTTAATTCGGTTATAAAGATATAAGTTTTTGATTCCGAGTTTTTTTTTGTTTTGCTCTTCTTTACGTACGGTTTTTCCCCTCGGCTTTTTGTTTTTTTTTTTTTTGGCAACCGAACCGAATTTTTTTTTTACCGCCAATGGATTCGTCTACGGATTATTATGTGGCCTTTCCACCGTCGGTTTGGTAATAAATAATATTTCACTGCACACCTTCCACAACGACGACGATAACAATATAATATAATATCGTGCCGGTCAAATAATTCATATTTACTTATAATAATAAACGGTATTATAAGCAACTTAAAAGTTTGCCGTGTTCTCAACGTTCAAAAGTAATATCTACTTAAACGACGGCTGTCCTAGGTTAGCGAGAACGACGATTTTGTTTTAGCAGCTATGAATTATTTAGAAAATCCTTTGAACGAGACGGCCAAATAATGACGACCAAGTGATAACCGGTCAACATAATATTATACTAAATTAAATTGTTGTAATACAATTTCTGTCAATTGAATAATATGGAAATAATTCTATATTTTTTTCTATTAAATAACCCATATTATCTCTGTTCGTTATTCGGATAAGCATTTGGATTTTTTTTGTATAAGAAAAAAAAATTATAATTGAAAAAGGTGAGTAATTATTTACCTTTATTTTTGATATTTTTTTTCAACATAATAATTATTTTTCACGACGTGTAGTGTACGAATGAAAAAATATTATTCAGTTGTCTGTGTTGTTATTTCTTAATTTACTAACGCACGGGAAAAATTACAATTATTTATTATTATTGTTGAAAAACGGAAATTCTTATTTTTAGAAAAATACATAGGTACCGCGTTCAATGTTAAAGTACAAAAAAATACAGGGTGTTCTAGTTTATGACATAATTAAATCATAATATATCTGATAAAAAAAATGTAGGTACACATAAACTAATTGACACTTTGCAACTTGACAATTTTAAAAAAAAAGTTTAAGTTTGTGAACAATGTCTTGTATAGAAAAAAAAAAGGATTCTGTACAATACACACCGAATGAATACAAATCGTTATAATATATTTATACACTTTTATGTGTGTACAGCTGTCGTTATAGACAAATCGACAAAATTTGTCGTCCTTTGTGACCAACTGGGTCGGCAAAAGCCCTTTGATGTTCGAACAAAAGTTTTCTCTTACCAGTATCAAGTCACGTATATTTTTCTGGGCTAAATGAGTTGTTTACAAGAACTCACACAGTACACGCTATGTTTATTTTAGCGGTTTACAATATTTACACTAGGCGGATAATGTGTATTTATGTATGAACTTTGTATAAAATATATTTGATTATGTTTTAACTTTTAACGGCTCTGTTTGCACAAGTCACTTAATCAGAAACACGAAATTATCCGAGCTAAATGTTTCAAACATTATAAAGACATGTCCGACATGTTGGTTTTTGTCAAATGTGGCAATTTGATAATGCTATTTTGTCCAAACTACACTCGTTTGTGTATAGTGATATGTATTTTCAAAGATGATGATAATAATATCATTATTATTTATATATATGTACATTGTATTTAACAAAGCAACACTATAATAAATTATGCAACGCTGTTGTCGCGTGATAATTGTATTTATGGTTGTTCATTAAATTCGGATTAGTATCAGAGACAAAGAAAATGTCAAAAGGCAGTGTCGTCGGCTATTCAATTATTCGAATATAATATGTACATTACTTTGCGTGAGACGTCAACCGAGGATATACAAACGCCTTGTAAAAATATATAATAAGTTTTCTACTTAATTTTGTTTATTGTCCACAATGTTCCCACTTAGAATTGGGTTTTTTCCTTATAAATGGTATAGCCGAAGCGTGCCGATGTCTTTTTCCATCCCATATAATAACATGACATTGTTTTCTCTTTTATTTTACTTAATTTCGGCTAGCTTTTCCCCGTGATCTCTCTAGAGGCGGCCATTTCTATTTTTTATTGTGATTTGTGCTGTGCACATTTGGCATTCTCACCGGATCCCCACTAATATTTCACGTACAGATATTCACCGAAACGATACTTATACTTCTGTACTTACATTGAACGCTTCTGTCTTGATTCCAAATCGATTTATTATTATATTTTTTTCTACTCCCAGACATTCGACTTGTACTGACTTTATTATGAATTTTCTGTTTCCCATCCTTTTGCATACCTAACGATGGCGACAGCGACTAGTTGATATACTCAACAATTCTTTGTACTGAAAATTGTGTTGCTTATAGCATTTTGTTATTCCTAACACGAACACGTCATTGCTGTACTGCAACTAGTCACTGCCTAGTTGTTCTATAATCAGAAATAAAATAGATAGAAATATTTTCACCGATGGTTATAAAATAATGAACAAATGCGAGCACAATAGTTGTAAGATCCACATTTTTTATATAAAGCATTGTAAAAAGAATCGCTTCAAATAATTGAAGATAAATTTGGTGCTATAATAACGTTTGGAAAGTGTAATTAAAAAATTACCATTTATCATATATAAATGGTTAATTGCGTTTTCGATAAAAAGCAAAAATGATGATTGTTATACAAATTAAAAGTTAAAGTTATTAATATTATCGTCCCCGTTAGTGGACAAAGTATGGGGAAATTGCATGTGCTATTTAAAAGGTTTTACTCAACCCCTAATAAAACAGTTAGATTCTGAAAACAAAAGAAGACTTTCTTGAGGACCGCTTCAGTATTATAATGTAAAAAAAAAAAACAAAATCTTACTGATCTATTTATTATACTTTGTATTACTATTCAAAATCATCACAACAGGTAATATAAAACATTGTTGTGAGAGAAAGCCGTGATAATCAAAATATGGTCTTCACGCTTAATTCTAGATTTATCGTTAAAATACTTTTTATTCGACTTACAATTTATTACATATCTACACTCAATTGAATTTTAAGTAAACTGTAAACATAGTTTTTGGTTTTATGAATTTTTCTCAATTTACAGTTTTATTGCTGATTGACAACTTTATACTATAACCGTATTATTATATTTAATTTTTATCATTATTAAAATACTTAAAAAAAAACCTTTATTGCAAAAAATATAACACTTTAAATAACACCAAAAATAAAAAAAATAGGGAAAGTGGAATAAACAGGGTTTTATGAAATACAATGTGATAAATGTTATGTAGGTCAGACAAAACGAAATGTTGGGGTTAGGTTCAAAGAACATAATACAATAAGGATATAATGCAATACAATAATACATATATAACATAATACAATAATAATATGTATAAGGAAAATAAAAAAACATAGGTTTAAAAAGAGATTTTTTGCCTGTAATCGGTCCTGGTCTGTTGTGAGCGCTGATGGTGATAGCATTGCTCTACTGTATAGGTATATAACTACAAGTGTAGCTTTAGTTTTTTCTAGCTTATTGAGTATCTACCATTTGCACAGTTATATTAGTGGTAAAAAAAATTAAGCTATTAATTGAAAACAAATATTTATATACATATTATGTATTTGTCATATAGAAAATAGTTAAAAAATATTCACAAATTGCTGTTTTCTTGTATTTTTCAGCATGTCAATTGCAGTTTAACGTGGACTCGTGTACACAAATTGATGTTTTGGATTGCAGTGATCTTGTTATTTGCTTCACATGGTGAGCTCTATTGTGTACGCATGCATAATATATTGTATTCCACCCGGCTGGTTGATACAACACCTGAGTGTGCTTTGAACAATGCCAGGTGATTGAAATGCGTGTCTTTGAAAATTTCGCAAATCAGAGGTGCTCCCCAAGGTAATTCTGTTTATTCCTCACGTCGGCGTCGATCCCCGTTGCCTTATCGCTCCTTTTCACTCTCACACTACGTGCCGCCATTATTCGCTGGCACAACCGCATAATATTCTGTTGATACAAGCAACCATCGTGTATAGGTACGTTATACAACTATATAATAATGTAATGTAATTTCACTCGGGTTGAAATAATCTGCTAGTGCCCAACGACCGAACGCCGGTCAAACGATGAATGGTACATTGATACCAAAAAATAATAAGAAAAACATCTCTATACAATAGTACCGTTACTTTGGTCATGTATACTGATATATTACAAGCAAAGTATTCGACAAAGAATATTCGCAAGGAACTGGCAAAATATTACCATTTGCCAATGCGGAAAATACGATTTACTAATCAAGTCTAATGCAACTCGATGTCGTGTATACACTTATAATCGACGGGCGCAGAACATTAGTAATGATAGAACTAGAGAATTGTTGAGGGTTCGACTTAGAAAATCTATAATAATTTCGAGTAGACACATGATTGGGTATTTTATTGTAATGCTGGTCACTTCATATTGGCAACACTGTAAAATATAAAAAAACTTTAACCATCTCTGGTTATACAGCGTGATCGAAGAAATTGTATCGAGTATCTGTAATGGTATCACCATCGACCACCGTTAATCAACAATGCCTTGTTAACAGTATTTCTTATCAGTTACAGTATAATTGTAAATATAGTGTGTACAAAATTATTTTCGGCACTAAAATTTGGCACTACTGCAATGCGTTTAAACCAATCAAAAATCATTATTTGAATATCTTTTGTTTTACTATGAGGTGCGGTGCACTATCTGATTTTATTTAATCTCTGCTGGTATATTGTCCATGCTGTCTAACTCGAATAGTTAGACAGCATGGAGCAGGTCGACAAAATATGACTTGCTGTTAAGGCTTGGGATGCTTGGAATTTGTTTACTTTGCCAGATAGCTGTTAATTCGGATTCTCTTACGATTGAGAATATGTTTTAATAAAATTCCTGACAGATATAATATCTAATTTGTCGGGTAAGCTGTAAAGTTATGATGACAATAATAAAATGGCAAAACCCGTTAAACCACTGCAAGCTCGTAAACGTACCAAGTTCGAGTGAGTTCCGGTGCTCGGCGGAAATATTTCCCCTTTGCCCAATCGCCTTACCTCTCCTTTTTTGGTGTATTTTTTTTTTATTGTCAATTATGATTATTCCCATGACGTCATCAGCTTATCTACCAGAGCGTTATTATGCCACAGTAAAACGTACAACGACTGTATTGCTGGCTGTAATTTCACCTTTAGCGGTTTCTACCGAATGAGTAGCTATACTAATTTTTTTAACCCTTACAAGTACGGTTGAACGCATTTAGTCGGATTAAATAATTCTCAGTGACAATATTAAAATATGCTGGTCGATTTTGGATTGATACACTATTGCAACTTGTCCAGTTTATCTTGACACTTCATGATGTCAAACGTCTGAACACATCAGGGGTTCGAAACTTATGGTCGGGCGTCAGTGTTACCAATATAAAGGAAATATAAAACCCCGGTTTACTGTTAAGTGTTATTGACTAACATTGGTCATTGTTAAATCAAATATAAAAAGTATTTGCTTTTTTTTTTAACTGTATTACTCAATAGTTAATACAACCTCTCAAAGAAATGTGTTGGCAGCACCTATTCACTAATACTACTTTGCTGACCCCTACAACTTTTAAACCGTAATGGTCGCTAGCTTTAAGTTGAATTATGAAATTTGCTCATAATATTTTGATCAAAGTGTTACTAATAGTAATTAGCATAATTAATTTTGTAATGTGTCTATTGTGTACCATTTCGAACACTACCAATAGATAATATGAAGAAAATCATAATCTTTTCAAGAAAATAACTGGACAATCACACAGGGTTGCAAGTTGATCAGCCTTCTTCTGCCTATGCCTATGTGTAATATATCTTATCTAATTCACCGACATTGCTAGCGGTTGATTATGACTTGCATAGGTAATACCAACAATAGGTGATGATGTAACGTCATCAGAATAAGCCAGTAAAAGAAGTAAAATTCGTCTTGTGGGTATACTTGTTGGGTACAAACACAAGTGTGTGTATATAAATTGTGTCGACGGACGGATTGAGAGAGAGATAGAGAGAGAGCGGTATACCATTAAAAACGTTTGGCGTAATGTTGGCAGGATTGGGAACAATTAAATAGACGGCTCGGCGTGAGTTTTTGGGTAAAAAGCCGAGATATTACTGACAGATGTGGTCGTCATCGTACAAACAGGCGAAGAAGAAATGACGGCGATAGACAGGCGGAAGACGCGCGGATTGTCTTCTGTATAGACACACAACACGGCCGGTGTTCTGGCAAGACGGCGAGACAAAGAAAGATGATAATAATTATGAGAAAGACGGATATAAGCGAGAAAGACAGAGTTATGGTGTTGTATGCAACGGGGCTGTAGCAATTAAATTATTCGGATTGAGACCGCGGGCCGGGCGGACGGACGTGGCGCGGCCGGGGGAACCACTTAACATGGCAGCGGTGGTCTCAAGTTTTATTAATAATTTCCGACCAGCACAGCCATTGCAACAGATGCTGGCTGAAGACGTTTGTTGGATATTTGGATATATTATTATTTAGGAACTGCAGAAAAACCAGCAGCCGCCGCCGCCGCCGTTAAAATGCTAAACGAGTATTTAATGTCGTTTTAATCGAAACCCGCTAATTGAGACACGCTAAGAAAATACTATTAATTAATTATTTATGTCCGATGACGTGCGCGCACACACACACACCCTCGAGCCAATAAGTTATTCGATATTATTTACAAGCTAAATTATTACACACATTACACATTATTCTACATGAAATTATTATCTTGTCAGTGCTCGGATCGAAAGCCGGTTTCCGGTTCAGAATCGTCGGCAAAATATTATAACAATTCGCATCGGTTGAAGTTTTTAATTGAAATAAACAACAAACTGCTTCACACACACACACACAAGATAAGCGTGATATTTTAATTAACATAGCCACGGTTGTGGAATTGACGTTTAAGAGTAAACTTTAACAAAAATGTGTTTAAGTAATATTGCATACTGTCACGGAAACTTAAGTGGGGCGTTTTTCGTCGTAACAGCTGTTTATAGTGTGATAGCTTCGAGAAATAACACTATTCCAAAAGACATTTTCAAGACAGCAATTGAATCAATGTTATAGTTATTATATTTTACAATTACAAATTAGGAACACTTGCAATTTTTAGCAGTATAAAATATATGTTTTAACGAAGGCCGCTTGATAATTATTATAACCGATTGCGTTTTTATACTTTAAAGCGTACGTCTTGAAAATAAAGGGAGGTTATATTTTGGAAAACTAACGGATATTTTTCAAACGGCGTCGCGTGTAGGCAATTCACCACCATCAATGAATACCATTTTTGCGGTGAAGTATCTTTGTGGGATAATAATATAGTGTAAGAACAATAATACTAATATAGGTTGGTCCGGTCATTCTTTTTTTTTCGCTGACTGGGGGGTGAATTTTAAAATGCCAAAGCGAAATTCAATAAAACAGGACTTGAGTAATGTACATTAAAGAAAATCCGGATTTCCCAATTATTTCGATAACAAAAAATATGTAAATATTACGAATAAAAAAAAATTAAATCTTACCAATAAACTAACAAGTGACGATTCATAGCATAACTATACACATCAAAGGAACTCAATTCGAATTGGTCGCATCCAACAGAAAGGAGATAAACGTAGCTACTTTTTATTACCGGTTAATGTACTATTTTTTTTTTAACGAGACTCGTTACTTGGTAAATTATCAATTTTTTACCAAAAAAATAAACACTCCGGAGCGTACAATGTATATATTTTTTACATTCTAGACGATTGAACGAAATGCGGATAATTTTCCCACCGGAAAGCTAACCTAATTGTCTCTATGGAGTTCTGGACGCTATGTATACACAGGCACTCGGTGAACGTTATCGTTGTGGGGGATGTTAACGCGACTACAGCTGCTGCCTTAGACGACAAATAAATCCCCCCCCCCCCGACCGGGTTTATCGGACCTTTGTGTTTTACTTAATAGATTTGATTAACTATCCTGTATATTGATTGTACAAAGGACCAGAGAGAGAGAGAGAGAACGACACACGATTGCTCAAAGCCAATAACGGTCTTGTCCATGTATATTTTTTTATCTCGTGTAATTTGCCCGTACGCGCCGTAAATATTAAGTTTCACGTTTGAGACAGACTTTATTGTTGTTGTTATTTAAATGCGAAAACATCTCACGTAGGTAAGACATACAAGACGTCTTGGTCTCGGTCGGGTTTATCATCGTTCTTAGCTTATACGTACCTACCTACCTACCTACCGCGGTTGCCTCTATAAAGCGTTTTTAATTGACAACGTTATTATTTTAACCGTCTTGTTGTGCGTTTTAGCACAAGTGTCAGTTGTTGCTGTGTACACACATAGTTTTACGACCCGCCAATGATAAACACATTTTTCTGGTTAGGTATATTTTTTGTCATTCCTTCTGTTCGTTACTATTGTAAGACAACCGGGCGAGACCATTGCAATAATAATAATAATATTATTATTGTTATGTGACACCGCAAAATCACGTGCTCCCCAGAATAATTCAATTTTCCAACGGCGAAACGACCTTATTGTAGTTATCTCTCTCTCTCTCTCTCTCTTTTTGCCAGACAGTTTGCGCACACCCGTTTCTTGATATTTTTTTGAAAGAGGTGCGTTCTTCTCTTTTTTGCATTTATTTTTTTTTTGTTCTCGACGACA